CCCTCTACTGGTGTTTACCCGGCATGGACAGGCTAGTTTCACAAGCCACATCGGAACAAACCGGCCACCATCCCCGTTATGTTTGTACTGCGGAAAGTCTTCCCCACCGTCACATGCCACACCTGAGCACCATCTCCTGGCCTGTCAAATGGCGCAGCAGATCCGGGGATGGTGGGTGGCAGCATGGCGAGCCTTAAACCACCAATACGTTTCCCAGCCATTTTTTCAGAGTCATGGCATGCATGCTGCCGCGACTCTCGGTAGGTACTGGGGCGCCGTTTCACTGGACATCCATCCAGGCAAAACGGACCTTGCACGCGACCCATTTCGCCTGGTGCAGCAAAACGGCACCCCCGTACTTCCCAAGCGTCGTGGCAGCGTGCACGCCGCAACTCTGCAAAAATGCCTGGGAAACGCACTGATGGTTTGACAACCAAAATCTACCCATCCCCCCAAGGTCATCCTGCTCAGGACCTCGGCGGCCGTGCCTCCACAGTGGGTCCCCCATGCGCGAAAGCACATTTCGATTACCAGGCTTGAGATCTCGATGGTGGCCTGGCGTGCCCGTTGCTCCTTTGAGAAAAGCACCATTCCTTTGGGTTCCTCCAGGATCTTTGGAGCACCTCATGGATCCACAACTCTGTTCCAGCTTCCTGCCTGGTCCAAAAGCAGAGGAGACCATAAGGCATCATCAAACAGATGAACTCCTCCCGGACCCACTCAAACAGGAAAAAGTCCAGTTTAGAAGGCCCTGGAGGACAGTTCAGAAGGTCCAGTTTAGTCCTCGCATGAGTCAGTTTTGTTTTAGGGTAGGCAGGCGAAGGATCTGATCAGTATTTGAGGCTTGGGTAGGGTTGGCAAGTTTCAGATGGTGGATCACTTTCGTTTCTCCTCTGCGAACTATGTGATGGAGGAGGTCGGCTTGTCGCAAGAGGAAGTCGTTCTTCATCTCGCGAACTATGGGTGGAGGAGGTCGCCTTGTCGCGGGATGCAGTTGAATAAGGGGGTGTAGGAAGCGTGTGGGAGGGGATCAGTTGTCTTTTACCTGCCTATGGAACAGGCGTGGGACTGAAGTGGAGTGGGGAAGTTTTTTCTTTTTTGATTGATAACATTGCGTCCCGCTGGTGTGGAGGGCTAGCTGGCGGGATTGGATTAGGGCACAGCTGCAGTTGAGATGGTGGCTTAGCTGTTTTAAGTTTGTGCTAGAAGGTGGTAAGGGGATGGGAGGTTAGGGTGCTGCACCTGTTTTGAGATGGAGTGAACTACTTTTTCCGCTCCTTCGAACTATGTGATGGAGGAGGTCGGCCTGTCGTAGGAAGAGGAAGAATTGAAGTGTGCTTTTCATCGCTAGGGGATTTTGGTGAGGTCGTTGGTCTATTGTTCTTCTCTCCCGAACTATGTGGTGGAGGAGGTCAGCTCGTCGGGAGATGAAGAAGAGTAGAGGGTGAAAGGGAATGGGAGGAGGGCTGACTGTTTTCTCTTTTGAAAAAAAAAAAAATCTCAAAAATAGATCTTAGGGTTGATCATACGCAGATGGCTGATTGGTGGTCTTAAGAATTTTTTCGGACTCTTGGGATTCCTGGCAACTCTTCTTAGGTGGCTTCGATGTTGTTATACTCAGCGATCTGCGGCTGTTCGATGCCAGAACGACGCTGGCCGGTGCTGGGGTGTTGCCCTGTGACCTGCTGACGCAGGAGCATGAGGCCTGGTAGAGAGATCTGGGGATGCTTTGGGGTGGGCATTCCACGGGACAACCAAGGGTTGCTGCTGGGACGACGCTGGTCGGAGCTGGGGTGAGTTGTGTTGCCCAGTAACCCAGCAGGATGTGGGGGTGTGAGACCTGGAAGAGCTCGGCAGGGAGTAGGACAGTGTTGGAGTGCTTTGGAAGGGTTTGTTAGGGATTTCAAGGGCTTTTGAGCATTTGTAGGACCTATGAGGTCTATTTCTATGTTTTCCGTATTGCTCAGACGTTTTCTCAAGAGACCGAGGTGAGTGGGAGAAGGAGAAGGTGGGATATTACGCGTCCTACTAGCAAGGGGGCTAGTTGGTAGGACGGGAATAGGGCACAGGAGCAGTGGAGATGGTGGCTCTGCTGCAGTAAGTCTTGCCGGAGTGAGGTACCGGGGAGGGATTGGGGGGTCTGAGTCTTTTCAGTGAGCGGGAGAAGTAGATGGTGGGATATCAAGCATCCTACTAGTGCAGGGACTAGCTGGTAGGATGGAAATAGGGTACAGCAGCAACAGAGATGGTGGCTCTGTTGCCGTAAGTCGTGCCGGAGTGAGGTAAACAAGATTGATGGGGGGCTCCTGAGTTCGTTTCTGAATTTTGTTCAATTCTGCAGTTTGTCGTCGTAATCTCCTAAGTAGCTCCAATTTTCTCTTAGCCAAAGCCCGGTAATGGCCCCGGTATCTCAAATTCTCTAAATTCGATGCAATTTTTGAATTTTCATATGGGACGCTGGGCCCGGTTCCCAGCACGTGCTGCTCCCCACGAATAGATTGGAGCTTTGTTCCCATTGGTGAAAAAAAAAAAAAAAAAAAAAAAAAAAAAAGGTCCTGGACCAACTCAAACAGCAGGACAGTTTCGAACGTTCTGGACGACAGTTAAGAAGGTCCTGGATCAACTCAAACTGGAGGAGAGCTTAGAACGTCCTGGACCAACTCAAAGTGGAGTAAGTCCAAGCTGCTGAACAAGAATTGGGGAAGGAATGGCTGGGGGACAGGGAAGTCGTGGCGGAAGGTCTAGATCTCGTTCAGAAGAATTTGGAGACAACATGAGCGGCACTGGACATATGAACCGCCGTCACATTTCTGGGTGCCTCCTTTCAGCCACACCTGCATCCTTGATTCGTATCCCTTCACATCCAGACACCACTCCCTCTCCTACAGCTCCCACATCCAAAAATGGGTCAAGAAACGGAACCCTCGCCCTTTGTCTCTCGTACGGAGCGACTCGTCGTCAAGTATACAAATGACTGCATGGGACAACCCCTGTTTAAACCACCAGTACTTGGCCCAGCCATTTTTCTCCTACGCGGCCGTTAACTCGCTACAAGTTTCGGGGGCCGGCCACCGGAGCAAAATGGCTCGCGGAACCAGACAAAAGAAAGTTGTGCTGGTCCGGGTTTTTGGCCTGCAGGTCAGAATTGCTGATATAACATAATCTTCTATATTTTTTACATACTAGGCATCATCATCATTAGTATGATTATCTCACATTTTACATAGAATCAGCAGAAGTTCACCACCATCATCATCATCATCATCATCATCATCATTATCATTATCATCATTATCATCATATCAGGGACGCTGAGCCTGGTTCTCAGCAAGTTCGGTTCGGTCACTCCGGGTAGACTGTGAGGACCCCGGCCTTGATCTTCATATTGGTAATATCAGCCTTGGGCATTGGGACCGTTGTTTTATTCA